TGTGCGTTTCGGGATCGGGATCGTCTCGCGCGTCGAGACGGCTGGCGTCGCGTTATCGGGTCCGTCGTTGATCGGACAAAGCCGGTTGTTTTGTTCGTTCTCTCCGTTCCCTCTGCGTGCGTGTGCGTGGGTGCGTGCGTGTATGCGTGCGTGCGCGCCGACCAAAGACATCCTCGCGTGTGGAGCTTCGTGTTCGAAATAAACCGAAAACGGTACGTTGGACGTTTGGTTGGGGTGGGTTGGGGTTCAACGGGAGGAATAACAATAATAACGCGATAATGGAGATCCTTCCCCCCTCCTCCCTCCCTCTTACCTCACGAGTAACACCGGTTTAATCGTGATGGAACGGATCGACGCGTAACCTTATCGTTGTCTAATCGTGTATATAAGCGAACGAGCCGCTTCGTTCGGGCTTATGGTTTAACGATAAACCACTTAGCAAAGTGTTAACTTTGTTCCACTCTACCCTACTTGAAGCCGTTTAAGTTCGAAGGTATGCAAATACGCGGTGGATGAAGAACTTTTAGTTAGCTTACGGTTTAATCACGGTTGAAAAGGTTCCGTAACTTTCCTCTCGTCGCTTGCCTCTACGAATAACAGCTGACGAAATCGGAGAGCCGGCCTCGCTTTCCATTAATTTTCTCCGCGTCTATTTCTCTCCTCGCGTATATATATATATATATTCCTTCGCGATTTTTCCAATCCTCAACCTTTCATCTTGCTCTCTCAGCTACTGAGAGCTGCGAAAAGTTCAATTTTCTATCCCCATTGTTTACGACAAGGACACTACTTTGACTCCAGTAGTGTGGGGCTTCTGCCAAAATTTCAACTCCACCAGATAGACAGATAGAATCGTGTCGAATCGAATGGAGTTTAGGAGTGGAGCGACGTTGGAAAAATATCCGGATGGTAGAAAGTTGTCCATCTCCGCTCGATTTCCTGTCCTCTGTTCGTAATTCGCGGAGGGATCGATCGCGCCGACTTGGCACTTCGAACGGACAGAGTCTGGCCGTATTATTAATCGCCCCGCTCGTCCCCCGCAATTAGTGCTCTGCCAGGAATTTCATTTCGCCGGGAACGAGTCTCCTCTCCCTCCCCCCGTCCCGATGATAATGGTTATCGATATCTCGGCCAATAGCCGAGCACGGAGAAAGGAAACGGAATCTGGCCGAGGAATCTCGACGCGTAATCCAACGCTTCTGATCCTCCCTTTTCAAAGTCCAAAGTCGTGCGGGCAACGATGAAAGAATCGACGCGTGAGAAACGTCCAAGATTTCCAAGTTTTTCGAAAAATTGGAAGAAACTCTTTTATTCTCTTCGATATAGTGAAATGGATCGTAGTAGTAGTTTATAGTGGAGCGATAAATTTTCCTCGAGGCGGTAACTTAAACGCCCCTTCAAATTTTTAATGCACCCCCAGGAGAGGCGGCGTGTAAATTTTTATATCGGAAGAGGGCGATATAATTTTCACGATTCCTCGTCGTCGTTGGAACAATTGCGCGCTTTATGAACGCGGTTTATTATTATTATTATTATTATTTTTCTTTTCTCTCTTTCGTTTCTGCGCGCCATTCTTTTCGCGTTATCGCGCGATTCGATTTTGTTTGGTCGTTCTAAAGGATCGAGCTCGTTATTTCTTCTCGATTTTTACGATTTTACTCTTTGTTTCGTTGTTTCCAAAATTTAAAATTTAAAATTTGTTACTTCGTCAACGGATTTTTCGCGTCGAGGAAAGTGAAATTTTCGTTTTTTACGATTTTTCTGGTTGTTAAAGGATAAATTAGTCTTGTCTCGTTACGCGGTCGTTTTATTAGAGTTCATCTTGCATAGGCGTTATCCAGTTACTCTTGTCGCTTTGACGTAGATTCTTTCTTACGTTTCGCATGTTTCAGCTTCGAATTACGAGCTTCTTGTAATCGTGTTCTTTATTTTCTTCGATCCTGACAATTTGTCCTTCGAGAATTCGATATTACAATAATTTTGCATTCTTCAAACGCGATAGAAAATTCTTTTTTCCCCCCTTCTAAATAATTCGTAATCATCTCTGCCGCTTCATCGCGCGTCTTCGTAATTATCGTGGTTACTTGGTCGATCGAATGAATACGAATACGTTGTCGATCGTTCGGGGGAAAGTCGAGGATTGGAACTTAGAAATAGAGATTTCGGTCGGTGTTTAAAGGGGGCGGTGCAAGTTGGAAATTGGAAATTCTCGCATTGCCGCAGAACCGGTATTATTGGGTTTTCGTGTCATTTGCGGCGGACTCGAAACCTGCCCCGTTACAAATTGAGTTGTCCGTGGTAATTCCCAACGGGGCGAAAAAGCCCGGTTAAACGTCTGCAGAAGCCCGAAACAAAAGCAACCGTGTTGGTTTTCGACACCAGATTGTAATGTTATTATTCCATTAATCCCTCATGGACCCGCTCTTCGTTCCTTCGTCCCGCGAACGTAATTTTAAATTCGAGTGGTTAATTCGTTTACGCCCCTCCGCCCTGGATTTCGTTCGAAGATTTGCAAACAAATTTTCTTTCTTTTTTCTCTTTTCACTTCGATCTCGATCCACGTTCGAAACACGAATTTCAGATTTTTCAGGGAGAATTTAATTTTTGTTATCTTTTTATTATCGTACGTAACGAGGTGAACATCTCGTTTGCGACGATTAACATTATCCCCCCCCTTTTTCGAGAATTCTCCTTCGTATTATCTCTCTCTGTTGAGATAATCNTCATTATCTCTCTCTGTTGCAGAAAATCGCGAGCGAACCGCCTCCACGGAAGCAAGCCCGTCGTCGCACGAACCACTACACTAGGAATAATAAAATCAAGGAATTGATACGAATAAGAGTAACGATACGAAGTAGTACAACGAAGAGATAGCGCAAGAACTGCCAAATCGTGTTACACGATATACCACGACGTGCTCGTAGTATAAAACTTTGGAAACTTATCTT